GCCCCCCACCCCCCAACACACACACACAAGCATCAATAGCTCGTGAATTGTTTGTTCTAGGACTAGGAGTTTTTGGGGTGTTCTTTTGCAAAATTACAACCAAAAAATGAGGATATTCCCTGTCATACAAAACGATCCCTATCACACTTGAAAAATATTGAGACAAACCTTACACCTTCCACGATTCAGAACGTGTTGACCATGTCTCTGCTTTGGAGCATAATATAAAGGAGGTTAAGATCTGAAGAGAAGGACATAATATAACATACTTTGGCAATCTACTTCCTCTGTGTTTACCACCCTGGCAAAACTGCATCACATATAATGCTGTAAGATCGTCTGCAACGTGGTAAGAGGATGCCATAGACTACATTAATAATATTATCGTTTAAAAGCAGTCAATGGGTTCATACGCGCAATCTTTTTCAGTGAGTGTTCACACTCAGTGCCTTACTCCAAGCTCTGTACCGAAGCTTCGCCTATGACATTTATTTTAAAAAAATTTTATACTCGCTTAAGTTTGCACACTTACGTATATCGAGACTGCTGATCTACACGTTCGATTCAGTCTGCTACAGAGGACAAGAGGCTCGCTAGTCTGTGCTAACGAAATAGGTACATGAAATTATAAACACTAAGTTTTCTCCCGCATTATGTAATTTGGGCATCGGCGTGACGATTACAATAACTTACAAGCTATTTGTAATCGAATCTTTTTTTACGAAAACGCGCATCGACGAAAACGGGCACGACAAAATTCAAAAGTGAAAATAATGGTACAAAAAGGGCTTCTTCCAAACGTTTCAATGCCCTGTTGAGCATGCATGACACACGTTTAATCATAAGACGCCAGAACGAGTCAGGCTTGCAAAAATGCGATTTTTACCAGTTGGAATTTTCTCGGCTCTGCGCAAAATAGGAGCAAATTCAATGTGATTTTTTTTTTTTAATGTCGATGTTTTTGAATAAATATAATAAACCGCATTTGTGTAGCGCAAATTCCCACTCAACTGTAAGCTCTATGTGATTTACATTCTATATACCCAAGTAGACCTGATAGCTTTCTGAAATAATCTAAACTTCCTGGGAAGCATGCAGCGCAGCTGCCATTTTACAGGCGCTAACATACTGACAGGATCTTTCCCTGACTCTGGCCAGATACCCATTCACACTTGGCTGAAGTAAGGAAAATTTGTGTAAAATGCTTTTCCTAATGACACAACGTGGGGGCCAGAGGCAAAAAACCCAGGGCCCTCAACCTCACGAATACGAGTCCGGTAACCTAACCACTAGAATACCGACACCACCATCGACACAATTTAGATAATTACGGAAGCGGGCGTTCGACCCTGCATGTCAAGGCCAACCTGAGCTGAGAGAAACACAACATCTAAACTAAAAGATTGTTAAAAATGTCTCACCATACGGGAATCGAACTCCAGCCACCTGCGTGTGACAGCCAAGCGCCTAACTGCTACACCACAGACGCCGGTATTCAAGGTGTAAAGTATCTAACGTTATTTTGTGAAGGTTTAAGGTGCCAACACGCAATGTCTACCTCTGTGCGTTAGGTCACCCCCCC